TAATAATTCCAGACTGTCAGTATCTAGCTTTTGAAAACACTTACCTGCTGCCGGATATCTACACAGTGTTCTAGGAATTACATCTTACTCTTGAAAATATTTTCTCATCTCTGATTCCTATTAAAAAGCTTTTTGTACAACTTACGATGAGTACCGGCATTGCGGACATGATAAAGCCACAACTTTCATTTTGTTTTTTTGTTTCATGACTACTGAATATTTCATCCTTCTCACAAAAAAGGTCCGTAGGAGATAAAAGTTCTGTACGAGAAAAATTCCTTGGGATAACTATGTGCTTCTACAAATGATTTCTAAATACCTTTCAGTCTGTGACAGGTCTCTAAATTGTGTAAGATCTCTAAAAAAAGCTTGTCATAGAACTTTATCTGAAATCGCATTTCTGTTAATGTTCAATTTACATGTAGCCTTCAACGGTGAAACTGAACAAAACATATTGTCCGATCTTAATCACATTTTGCTACTGTGTGTTCTAGTTCTAGTTATTGAAGCAGAAAAGCTTGAAGTACAGTATTGTGCAAAAGTAATGAGAGCGAAATGCGCGAATTTCATTCTTTGTCTCCATGAACTTTCAGAGAAAATTTGCCCGAAAATTCGAGCGTCTTTTCACAATGTCTTGAGTGTTATTTCTTTAAAACAAAGGATGAAACTTTGCAGCATTTTCAAGACCAGAACGAAAATTCCTTACCAGAGGGATAATTCTGTATGTGAAATATCACAGTGCAGTGCGCTGACCAGTATCGGGCCATCAATGTACTGTTCTCTTGTGAACAATCGCGGTCACGTTGACGCATTACTCCTCTATAAAATTCACTGTTGTTAATATGTTAGTCCGTCTATCATGGCAAAGAACATAGAGAATTTGAATCCTTTGATCGTTTTCAATGACACGAACTCGCTAACTTAAGCTTTGTCACGTCACTGTGCCAGCAAGGCAGGTACCAAAGTTGGACCACTAGTCAGCGTAAACTTGGACGAAAGTAAAATTCTTAAGGTCATTTTGAAGGCCTACTTCACCTCAAAATTCATCCAAAGTGACATCAAATTCAGTGATCGATGGACAAGCAGACATGTTGTTTATCTAGTGCCAGGTCTCCATACGGCCCCACCACATGCCCAGTCCCCTCAGCTGTTATCACGTTCACCATGTTCTTGTCCGCCCACCATGATGGATAGTATATTATTCGCAACGAATTGCAGTTGTTTCGCCAACGAGTTGTTTCGCCAACAAGTTGTTTTGCCAACGATTTGTTCGCCAATGTCTAACATCAATTTGCCAACCTCCTAAGTCACTTTGCCAACATCCTACTGGTCAATTTGCCAACATCAGATATCCAGTACTACCGAAAAAAAAAGCTGCTTATTGATGTTTGGAATGCCATCCTGATCCTTGGGTCACTGCCAGTCACTGCCAGTTTCACTTGAAGTACTTTAGATCAATTTGCATGTTTTTAATAGTTTCACAAGCCAGCTCGTGGGCACTACATCGCAGTAATTTTCACGGTGAAAACTGACTGTTGAATACCAAAGTTCAGATCAGCTGTTTGTAGACGCACCATTTTCTCTTAGCAGGAGGGGTAGTGTAGCAGATTCACACTTACGATTGATGGCGTAGGACATTTACACATTATCCAGCTTTGATTTGTTTCGAGTTTGACAAAACATCAAATGATTAGACAATAAAGAAAAGAGGTCAAAGCAGCGTTGGTGAATTGACCAGTAGGACGTTGGCAAAGCGACTTAAGACGTTGGCAAATCAACCTAAGACATTGGCGAATGAGCTGTTGGCGAAACAACTCGTTGGTGAAACGACCGCATACCTTCGCGACAATCCCTCTTTATTTCACACTCATTAAACAAGAGATAGAGAAATATAACAACCTGTCATATTTACATTGCTTTTTTTGATAACATGACAAAAATATATATGTGGTTTTGCAAATCTCATGCTATCCTTGTGGTGCCATTCTCTTAAGAACAAAAGCAATTTGCTCCAAATGCATGCGCAGATTAGTTAGTGTCAAAGTCGACTATATGTTAGCTGAAAGATACATTTCATACGGGACTACCCACGAATGTTGCGTGCCTTCCCTTGTGGTAGAACATAACATGTAAGCCGCATGCGTTCTAGCATTGCTAGTGTGATAAACTCCATTCTCAAGATCAGATGCTCGCTTTTTTTTATTTTTTGTAAATGAGTGACATCGCACCCTCATTTTGGCTGGGGATAGCAGTAATATTTCAGGTAACGTCATTTCTCCTTTTTTAGTGAAAAGAACGCTACTGTGACTGCGTATCTTCTGGAATCTTCCCTAGCTCGATTCAAGAAATGTTGTCTGCTGCTTTGTCTGCTGTTTTCAGAAATGTCGTCTGCTGTTTCTTTGCCAGGGTTGAAATTGAGAATGGGAACATATTGCTTCTCCATAGCTGCTTGATTGTTTCCTCTTCTATGAAAGAGAGCCAAAAGTTCATATTCAGCCGAAACTTTCCCCTGTTAGTTGCATGCAAAACAAGTAAATTTGTGACAAAAGAAACTTTGTTATTATTGTCGCAGACTCCGTGGTACTTACTGAAACCTCCAATTAATTTCATCAGTCGATGAGGTGACTCACTCACCTATGTGGGATATAATTTCGGTCAAGTAAAGATCTTTACCTTCAATACTTCTCGTTGAAATGCTCCTCAATGCTATTACTGGATAGCATTGTGTATTACTTTGATGCGGTTTTATTGTTTACGCCAACTCGGCTGGCAACAGAATAAGAACGCACTCTTCTGTGACTCGACATGACTATTTGATAATTAGATTAGTTCTTCTCTCTCTGTGAAATGAAAATTTGCGTTTCGAATAAAACAGAATCTTTCCTCTTCGACCTTTCAGCGGATATTTAACTTTTATTTTCCATTTATCTCCAGCAGTGAGTAAAAACAATACACATCTTTCTTATGGTTTCATGGAAACAAAGGTACCTAGTGACACATTGGCGAGGAAAACAATAGTATCAAGTTACAAACGGCATGAAAAGTACAATTGTCACATTTGCTACAATGACTTTCAAACCCATCTTGACAAACGGTAGTTGTAAGTTATTTTTGGGCCTTGAAAGAAAACACAAACATGAAACATACACACTGTGTCTCATCAAGTTTTTGTCCGCTCATATTTCGTTCATATTAGCAGACTACCAAGGGAGAGAATGGCAAGGGTGGGGGACCTATGTGACTACTGTATCAGAGCCGTAAATTACACTCTGCACTATCTGAGATTGTCTCACTAGATATGTTTTACAGATACTATTGATAATTGATTGTATGGGCCACATTTGCAATATTGTAAAACTCACTGGTCAGTGGCTAATTATGTAGCTCTCATATGCTACATAATTAGCTACATAGAATGCAGTCCTAATGCAGACTTGAGTCAAGTTTCATGGGACAGTGGATCTTGGATCTTGGGACACTGATTTGGCCGCCCTGTAGCAGGGGCGAAAACGAATGACATCATCGCCAAACCATGTGCTGTACATTTCGTGTCCATCTGCAACATCATTCTTGTTCTCTTTTGTGGCTTCTTTTGTTGTTTTCGACGTTTTGGAGTCTTCTTTGAACTGGTTTTTCACTCTGATTGCATTTGACAAAAAAGGGAATGCAGTCCCAACGCAGACTAGAGTGATATTTTGGCCGGACGAAAACAAATTAGCACGTGTAAACAAGCTGATTTGCTTTTTAGATCATTCTGTTCACGACCACAACTTTAAATCACCTTGGCTTTGGGATTTTAACTGTGGGAACAGCTATATTTCATTGGTTATATTTTGAGTACATTAAACAAATTTTGTTGATTTTAATTACTTAGTGCTAGTGGCCAAAAATAGTTCAGTGTTCAACGAAGCTCAAAATTGAAAAGATGGAAGAGTACTCTGAAGCCAAGATCTATAAGAGTAAGCCAGAACCAAGGAACAGAATCATCAGCAGAAATATTCAAATCAGCTGCCAGTCGCACAGAGTTTCTTTACTATAACCCATTGATAAACCGGCACGTGAGTGCAAATGCTAGCTGATATTTGTGCTTCCAGCTTAGAATACTAGATGTAACACAAGTGCACTTTTAAAAATTAGCCTTTATACCAGTAAAATGAGATTTTAGCACGAATTTTGAAGGCAAATGTGCTATTAAACTTGTGACTACCGAAACTGGAGCCGTCATGCAAAATGTTGACAATAAAGGAAGGAAATCAAAATACTGCCAAACCTCTATTAAGCGGCCCCCTATTAAGGTGGCCGAACAGTTTGCGTACACGCTTTTGCTGATGCAATTCAGCACATGCACAAGGATTGCAAAAAACAAACATGCTGTCAATAGAGCGATCACTTAATTTGCCCAATGCCCGCATTATCTGTGCTATTTTTCTTTATAATTGAATGCAGTGTATTGATGGTTTTAAGCTTTTATTACAAAGATATGTTAGAAAAGGTAACAATGCAAAGAACCCAGCAATTCTTAGCTTTTTCGTTGTTACCGAAAGAACCCAGTTAAATGTAGTGCATGCGTAGTAAGTAAAAAAATTGCGATTGAATGAAAAATTGCTTTCTCAGAAATACGCCTTTTTCTCGAGAACCACTCATTAAAATTTCACGAAATTTGGCTCGAAAATACTTTAGGAAATAAGTAACTAGAGTATTGAAAAAAAAAGTGAACTTTAACAAAGGAAATTCTAGATATTCCTTTCAACCTTCAACAAAGGATAATTGCAGATCTCTCTGTTAAATTATTATCAAAATGGTGTTAACTTGCGAGTATCGTTACAGGCTTGCTGCATGCAAATTATACAGAAAATCTAATGACTACATTTTCTACAAAAGCGATTTTAAAGGCCCGTTTATATTTATTAATGTTGCCATGGTAACAGCACATATGTCAGCTTAATTATCAAAAAACCAAAGTTTGTGTTGTTAACTTGCTTGTTACCATTTTTGGCGACCAAGGGATCAAGGATTTAGAGAAAAAGGTGAATGAAACACAGGTATCTAAAACTGTGTTGAGCCACCTTAAGCAGCTAACTTTTATTTGGCTGCCAGCAGCCAAAATCCCAGAAAAAATTGTCAGCTATGCACTGTAATAAAAACCTCTATTCCACAGCCACCTCTGTTAAACAGCCGCAGTCAGCTTCTTGCCGTCCCAAGGGTGATTTTTTGTTTTATACCACTAAGAAGCAACCAGTTGTCTCGTCCCCAGAGTGGCTGCTTTTCAGAGGTTTGACTGTAATCTACAGACAAATAGCGGACTTTGTCATTGTTACATCTGTCTATAAAACTTAAGCTGTTCACAAAGATAATGATTTCAGCAACAGACAGCTATTTAATCCTTTACCCCCTAAGGCAAACAACAGTTTTTCCTAAATCAGCAAATAAAGGCTCTCTGCCTAACAATACACCATTTGAAAGCCACTGATCAGCTTACTTAAGAACTGACATCAGCAACTATGAAGGAGGTAGTCATTTTGAGAGACATTGTTCCGAAATGTGAAAATGAAAAGCTTCCAACACATATCAATTCTCAAATATCATAGGTATGATCCAAAACTGTAGCTTATTTAGCAGGTCTTCATAACTTGATGCAAAACAAGTCCTGCATTCCATGTGCATCTCAAAAATGAAATTGTAAAATTATGGGGGTGGTCAACCATATCTTAGATAGGAGGGGGTCACAATTTTATGTCTTCAATGAGCAGATCTTTATGGAAAAAATTCATAGAAATCTCTCAAATATTCACAAAGTTATGATGTTGTGTGCCAAATGGCACTCTTAGAAAGCAAAGGGTTAAGCTAATCACCTGCGTAGACAACGAATGCACTCATAATCTTCTATTACTACTAGTTTATTGCTTTTTATTATTACAGTGAAACCTGTATTAAGCAGACTCCATAATAGGCGGACAACCTCTATTAAGTGGACACCAGCTGAAGTCCCAAAATGTTCTTCGCACATTTACTGTAAAATAAACTTGCACTCAGCGGACACATCTGTTTAGCGTATGCCAACACCAATCTTGAGCCATTTTCCACAAAACCTGCAATAAGCGGACACTTCAACGGCTTTTTACTTCTAAAAGTTCAGCTGAGACTCCTTTAACACTGTTCAGCAATGTTGCTTTTAAGCTAAGTAGATTATTCCAGACTGATGCTTTGTTTAACTGGACATTGTGCTATGGGCAGTTTTTGATATTACACTCTGTTACACTGTGTTAAAAAAGAGTTTAGAGTTCACTATTATTATTGCACAACATATTAGAACCTGTTTTGAGCAGACACCCTGTATTCAGCAGACACTAGTGAGGGTCCCAAGGGTGTCTGCTTAATATAGGTTTCACTGTATTTTTAATTTGGGGTGATCTGGATCAGGATTAGTAATCTGAGATCACTCTGCTTGTAAAGATATCAAAATGGCTGGATTAAAGGTTGTTTAGTAGCTTTGGGTAAATGGACCATTAATGGGATTTTCATGGGTTGCAGTAGTTATCATTTATCCCATAAAATTAATGCGGAGTCAAATGTGACTGTGAACGGGAAAACATACCTTAATGGTTATCCATTAGACGGGCAAAAGCGTTAAGCATCAGGTCGTTAGAACGGAGAGTGCAACTGTTAGCAAGAGACATGTATCCATTAGCCATGAGCATCAGACTGTTAGACAGGACAGCACAACCATTAGCAAACACTCTGTATCAGCACGGCTAGAGAAGCCATTAGGATCCGTTAGAATAAACTAGCATCTGTTAAACGGGTAACAATTCCGTTAGAATAGCATGACACGTGTTGAAGTAGAATGTGGTAGCATGAAGTAGAATAATGATTTGGTTTCAATTCACAAAGTGTGCAGGTTCAAAAATTTGCATAAAGTTGTTTACATAATCCAACATGTGCGAAACGGCCATATTCCGGCAGAAAGTTTGAGGAATATTTTCATAGACTGTTGTCTGACTCTGAATCAGAAGAAACCAATTTTAAACTACATGTATGTGACAACAACAACTGTATCTCATGAAACCAAGGCCAACAAAATGCCCATCGCTTCGAGACTAGCTTCGTGACTTCAAAAAGTACCGCTTTTCACACACTCTGTCAAGAAAGCGTAATCTTTCGTAAATCAACAGCTTGATGAAACAGCTGTGCAAAGTCTAGGCAAAGTCATTATGTAAAAATAAGTACAAGCAACAAATTCACTTGAGTAAAACAATAAAAAATGTTCACCCCAACTGGCGGGTTAAATTGTTTACACATGTATTTAGTGACATTAGGTTCGTGTCCCACATGATAATAAAGGAGTCAAATTCTGAATTTGTCTGTCTCGACGAGGAAGTGATAGTTTATATCACTGAGTTTTACTTTCAATGCTCACCGTGAGAATAGTTTTTTTAATGTTTGTCTCATCAACTACTGATGAAATCAGCACTTTGTGATTCGTTTTTTTAAAAATCGTGAGTGCAAGACTAATAATGGTTTGGCACGATTATGTGTTTATAACTTCAGACTGAAAGCTACGCTATTCATTCGTTAGAAGTCCTTAGATGTGAACCGTTAGGCAACTGTTAAATGGCTCCAGTCATCCGTTAGAACAAATTGCGCAACCGTTAGAACGTTTTCTTCATCCGTTAGGCACACTTTGTTAGCTGTTAGAATGTTAAAAGAAAGCGTTAGAACGCTTTGATCATCCGTTAGACACAATTAGATAGCCGTTAGAACGTTAGGACAAAGCGTGAGAGAATGCTGTGAAGGCCATTAACTATCCATTAGCTATCCATCCATTTGCGCCTGTTTAACGGATAAGCGCTAAGGTACGTTTTCCCGTTCATGGTCACAAATTTCATGGCAGGGCTTGAAATTAACAAAATCCTTAAGTCACCATTTGGTGACTATGTGGTAAAAAATAGTCGCTAACTACAAATTTTTAGTCGCAAAATCAAATAGAAGAGACACAATCCATAGACATACATGACGTACTCAATGCTCAAGGGTTTGCAATGCATTATTTTGAACAGGGGTAGCCATTTTGAAGTTTCAGAGAGAGAGTTATACGCTTGTTGATACTCCACCGCAGTTTTGGCTGTTTTCTCGCCACTTGGTTGATGTCCCGCCTTGTGGTTGATTTCCCGCCCCATTTATGGCTGATGCCCCGCCATTGGTTGATTTCCCACCTTGATATGTGGTTGATATCACACCACGTGGTTGATGTCCCACCAGGTGGTTGATTTCCCACCCTTTTGATGGCACCATAATTGTTGATGGAGTAAAATGCTGTAGGATTTATCAGTTTTAACAGTAATTATTGGTTTCCATTTTATGTGCGTAGACTAATGTTCGCACAATAGCATTATGTACTTTTAAGATTATATTTTAGTTGTTTTAGTTTTTTCTTTTTGCCTTTAAACTTTCAGCAGGTTCTCTCAGTAATCACCTCAGAAAGTATGTCAAAGGTTAAATATTCAGTGTGTGATCAACTACGAGCAATTGATAAAACAATTAAGAATGTTCTTCCCGTCTCATATAACCCTCGGTGGCCACCTGAGCTATTTCTTTTAAGTGGTAAGGTTGATATTTTCATTACAAAATCAAAGTTACCAGACTCTTACTGCTGGCTTTCACTGTCACGCCATCAAAATAGCCCTCTTTTTCAGAGGGTATTTCAAGTAACCAACCCAATTTACTGTTGCCAGAAAGAGAGAAATACAGGTCAGAAAGTCAACAAGGTGGGATTTTACATCCCAATGCAACAATGCATGAGCAACTTATTATATGAACGTCGTCGAAAAATGGGCCATTCACGAACTCATGGCTCATAAAGAGGAAACGACAGATTGCTATTACAATATAGGCCATATCAAAAAGAAGTGTGCCTTAGGTCACCAACTACTGAAAAAGTCCCTTGGCTTGGATACATCAGTAACTACAAAAGCAGACACCAAGTCAGCAAATTCAGCAAAGCTTGACTAGGAGGACCATGAGCACCATAAGGAAGAATCAGAGCCAATTATTCATGAAGGACTCTCCAGTAGCGAAGTAGAAGTCATCAAAACGCTGTTTTCCAGCCAAATAATTTCTCAGGCCCAAATCACGTTCGACATGTGAGAAAAATAATGGCCGAACACATGCCGGGATTTAAGCGAATTTGCAGATGATTCTAAGATGGTGAAGAGAGCCTATGACAAAGTGGCCTACCCGGTAATACCAGAACATGGTATTGCCATCAAAGGAACCTGAACCATCATCTATCAGAACAGAAGCAGGGTTTAACAGCATAACTGAAGTGGAATCTGTGTCTGCTGTCACTAACTACCAACTAAAAGCAAAATGGAATAAACCAGATGAAAACTACCTTGAAAACTTCTTTGAAAATATCCTGTGCACCCAAACAAAGAAGAGCTGAAGTCGTCATTCCGGCCTGAAGGAAATCCTTAACAGAAAAGATCGTGACTTTGAGCCCTGCTACAACAAAGTGAAATACATGTTCGAAAAGGGGGCCAACAAATAGAGACATCGAAAGGTCAGGTTTGCTTTCAAGTTACCACATATGAATTGTGGACGGTCTTAAAATTACAAGCCCAACAAAAGGATGGCCTCTTTTGAGCTACAAACAGAGAACATTGTTTAAAAACTGTGTACGATCATTTACACACCATTTAAGGCGTAAACTGTACGGTCGGAGAATTATGAAACCAAAACAAACACAAACTAGTGAGACAATCTCAGATAGTACAGAGTGTAATTTACGGCTCTGATACAGTAGTCACATAGGTCCTCCACCCATGGCGTTCTCTCCCTTGGTAGCCTACTAATATGAACGAAATATGAGTGGACAAAAACTTGATAAGACATAATCTTAGCAGTGTGTATGTTTCATGTTTGTGTTTTCTTTCAAGGCCCAAAAATAACTTACAACTACCGTTTGTCAAGATGGGTTTGAAAGTCATTGCAGCAAATGTGACAATTGTACTTTTCATGCCGTTTGTAACTTGATACTTTTGTTTTCCTCGCCAATGTGTCACAAGGTACCTTTGTTTCCACGAAACTATATGAAAAATGTGTATTTTTTTACTCACTGCTGGAGATAAATGGAAAATAAAAGTTAAATATCTGCTGAAAGGTCGAAGAGGAATGATTTTGTTTTATTCAAAACGCAAATTTTCATTTCACGGATAAAGAGGAACTAATCTAATTATCAAATAGTCATGTCAAGTCACGGAAGAGTGCGTTCTTATTCTGTTGCCAGCCGGGTTGGTGTAAACAATAAAACCACATCAAAGTAATACACAAAGCTATCCAGTAATAGCATTGAGGAGCATTTTAACGAGAAGTATTGAAGGTACTTGACCAAAATTATATCCCACGTAGGTGAGCAAGTCATCTCATTGACTGATGAAATTAATTGGAGGTTTCAGTAAGTACCACAGAGTCTGCGGCAATAATAACAATGTTTCTTTTGTCACAAATTTACTTGTTTTACATGTAACTAACGCAGGAAAGTTTCGGCTGAATATGAACTTTTGGCTCTCTTTCATAGAAGAGGAAACAAACAAGCTGCTAAGGAGAAGCAATATGTTCCCATTCTCTATTTCAACCCTGGCAAAGAAACAGCAGACAACATTTCTTGAATCGAGCTAGGGAAGATTCCAGAAGATAAGCAGTCACAGCAGCGTTCTTTACACTAAAAAAGAAGAACTGACGTTACCTGAAATATAACTGCTATCCCTAGGCAAAATGAGAGTTTGATATCACTCATTTACAAAAAATAAAAACAAGCGTGCATCTGAACTCGAGAATGGAGTTTATCACACTAGTAATGCTAGAACGCATGCGTCTTACATGTTATGTTCTACCACAAGGGAAAGCATTCAATGTTCATCGGTAGTCCCGTATGAAATGTATCTTTCACCTAACATATAGTCGACTTTGACGTTAACTAATCTGCACATGCATTTGGAGCAAATTGCTTTTGTTCTTAAGAGCATGGCACCACAAGGATAGCATGAGATTTGCAAACCACATATATTCTTGTCATGTTATTAAAAAAAGCAACATAAATATGACAGGTTTTGCGTAATGCACTGAGGTACCCACCCCACCCAACTCCCCTTCCCGCAAGGCTAATTGATTAATTGAAATTAATTAATTAAACAAACATTAAAGTTTACACCTTATGGCATTAGTGCTTTAGCGAATATCAGCACCCTAAAACATCCCAATAGTACACTCGGCACTAAAAACAGGAGAGATATGAAGTGTAGCACGGCCATGAAAAAATCACAATGGTTGAAAAACGGTGTACAGTCAATTTCAAACCCTTTACGCAACGGTCCATATAAGAAGGAAAGAACCACGCGGCAAGGAATGCAAAAAGGTACTAACTTTTGTGCAACTTTACTATTGTTGTATCCTACTTCTGATTGGCTCAATCAACAAACTCTAGCAAAACTTCAGGTAGCTGTACATATATTTATGCATAATTTATCAACTATCTTCCTTTCAACTAAACCTCTTCGAGTCTGGATACCAAAGTAATCCATGTGGGGAACATTGGAAAATTGGAAGCTTTTATTGTCTTTGTTTACAACTGTTGTGATTGGTTGAATGTTTTAACACAAAGGAAACTACCTTTAAAAATAGAGTTTAAATACAGTTTATTTCATAAACCTGCTTTTCATCGGTTGACACAGTCTCCATATGAAAACACAACTGTTTCAATGTGGGGAAAGCACATTGTCTCAGAACAATAGAAAATGCTACAGTTCTTATGTGGATCATTACTTGAAGTGTATGGTAATTAACCAACAATAGCAAAACAAAACCAAAAAAACAAGAAATACTATAAAGAATAGAACAGTCATTGATGTAGCATGAACTATGAGTGTAGAATGGCTGTCAAAAAAAAATGATTATAGTGTACAGTCATTAAACTACAATAACAACCAAAAAAAAAACAGGAAAGGCTATGAAGTTTAGTACAGTTGTAGAATTTTTCTAAAAAAGAGTACAACCATTAAAGTAAGTAAACTTACATTGTACGGTTGTAAAATTACCAAACACATGTAAAATAATGATATGTGTGTCAGATTTCTGAAATGTCCTGAACAACTTTGGTATGACACTTGTTATTTGTTTGGGATAAAACACGAGCTAAGGTACAAATCCCTAGGGAGTGCCCTCTTAAATTTCTTCAGATATACTCCTGCATTATGTTGATAATTCTAACCTGTGTCATTTTGCTTGATTTTATTGTAATGGCATGTTAAAATATGGCGATTCCAAATGAACATATTATTGTTGTTGCTGTTTTCCCTAGAGGATCGTCCGTCTTGTATGTCTTTATGTATGTTTCACCAAGTATATAAATCAGCTTACAAATGCTGTTTAACTTGTGAAATATGTAGCTTACAACCACATTAATTGAAATTTAGCACAATACCTCAGCATCATCTGAAAATGAGTGTCAGGTAACTTCAATCGAATGAATAGTCTATTCATTTTCTCTTTGATATTTTTTGTGTATAAGAGGGTCTCAATGAGGCGGGGTACTTTCAGTGATGGTTACCGTANCCACAATCTAGCAAGCATATAAATATGTTAGGTCGAGTTCACGGCCTTGTTTAACGTT